CACTCCTTCCCTCCCTCCTCCCTAGCTCGACCAAAGTCTTCTAAGAGAGAGAAGAGAGCTCTAATTTTATCCTCCATAGCTGCAAAATTTGAGCTAAAGCATTAGGAGTCTAAGGAAGAGGTTTAAAGGAGGAAAAAGTTAGGAAAAGTGTGAAAGATTAAGGTAATAACCTTATAATAACTTTTCCTCTATTTCTTATCTATCGTATGACTAATATATTATATTAAGGACCCCTTGAATTATTCTACATGTTTAGAAGTGTAGAATGAGGGGTTGGAGGGTAGTTCTAAGTCCAAGAACGGACTTAGAAGTCAACACGGCCGGTTCGCCGAAAATAACCTTTTAAAGGTTATTTGTATTGATATGGGTTTTATGATGATAAAAACTTGTTAGGAACTTGACTAAAGGGTTTCTAGAGTTCGTCGGAGTTTCGCCGGAGTTCGCCGGAGATTCGCCGGAGTTTCACCGGAGTTCAACCGAGGAGCGTAGAACTCGCTTAAGCTCATTTAAGGTGAGTGGACGGCTTAATATCTTATAACTCTTGGGTTAATTATGAGATTACCTAAATAAATGTTATATGTGTTCATAATTATGTTTAAAAGGTATTTAAACATGTGATTAGCCAACATAGTTAAGTTTGTATGAAAGGAATTAATTGTTATGCATGAAATATGATATGAGGAATTATATAACATGCATATTTGCTTGAAGTGTAAGAGAAGCACAAATGAATATTATTAACTTAATTATATGATGATTAAGTTGATACGTACAAGGCTTGAAATGGCGGTCAACGAAAACGTTGACCGATGGATAATGGATTAATACCGGTTGGTATTAGTTAATTATAAATTTATATAAATGCATGGTTTTGCATGGATTGTGATCCATAAGCTTTATATATTGATTTAGCTATGAATGAATAGATATGATATAGACCCTATCTAGGTTGATAGGAGGTTGATCATAGGATTTTATTTTGGTGGAGGACCCTAGGACTTAAAAGTCCTTAACACTCATATTTTGGTGGAGGACACTAAGACTTAAAAGTTCTTAACACTCATATTTTGGTGGAGGACCCTAGGACTTAAAGTCCTTAACACTCATATTTTGGTGGACGACCCCAGGACTTAAAAGTCCTTAACACTCATATTTTGGTGGAGGACCCTAGGATTTAAAGTCCTTAACGCTCAGATTATAAAATTGGTGGACGACCCTAGGACTTAAAGTCCTTAACACTCAGATTATATATTGGTGGAGGCCCCTAGGATGAAAAGTCCTTAAAACTCGGATTATACATTGGTGAGTACCCAAGGATTATGATCCTCAAAACTCATAGGTTATGGTGTTAGTCCTTGGTTTCTATAACAACAATATAATATGATCTATCAAAGAGTAAAACAACAGAAAGATGAACACGATGAAATCCCTCTTCGATATACCGTATAAGCTCTCAGAAAGATATGAGCGTTAATGTGCGTGAGGCTTGTGTGACTTAGGGTTTGCTTAAGTTAGCATCCTTTTATACATAAGGATGTCTAACTTAAGGCTTACAAGTGGGCTAATGGACTGAACTTGTGGCCCATATTACACATTTAATTAATAACTACACAAACACAAAGATATTTAATTAGATTGGACACCATAAAATATTCCCAACAATCTCCCCCTTGGTGTTCAATCGTGTTGTATCAGCATTGTAGCGCAAATATCTTTGTCTTTGTTGTTATTCAGCTTCCTTTGTCTTTGAACTTGACTTCTTGAGAAGGCTTTATGAAGAAATCATAGCAATCTCCCCTTTGATGTCTTCTTGGCAATTTGATATTTGATGCCGGGGGTTGAGGAATCTTTTGCTTGTAATCCTTGCCTTCAAGAAGTAGCTCTTGATCAGCTTGAATGAACTCCGGTGGCGCCTCTAGAATGATGGTTCTGATGGTTTCCAGGCGCGCACGAGATTCATCTTCAGTACGCGAGTATCTGACCTTTGTCTCCTCCACAATGTAGTCTTTTTGACTATTTGAAATGAATGTTTTTGAGGAGAGCCAGTCAGTTGCACAGCGGAAAATGATGATTGACTTGTGAGCGTAGCTGACCATTTGATGTGAAGCTGAATTTGTAGTTGATGCTTTGAGAGAATAGAGAGTCGTCGTTTTTTTGTGTTGGAGGAGAAGTGTCCAAGAATGATTTTTTAGAGTAAACAGCATGCAGACCACTCTCCCCTCATGACGATCCGATGAATCGGGGCGTCATGCCTTTATTCTTTATTCTGGGAAACAAAATAGAAAAAACAAAAAGGTAAACACCGGAGACACCATGGTGTTCATTCTCTCGATTGAAAGCACAATTGAGGTAGCAGATTTGACAGTGATTATTGTTCTCTTGCTCACTTGAGCTTTCTGCTTCCTCACTCTCATAATGTTCACTCAGTCATCACTGACTCTCGACTTTGTCCCTTGGGTAGACTTAGTTAGGTTTACTAAGCCATTAGGACTTATCTCTCATTTCTCTTTATTCTTTTATTTTCTTTTCTTTCTGTACTCCCCCTCAACTGGAGCACTAAGTAGGATGCCTTTCACGATGGTTGGCGCTTGAGAGGAGAACTTTGAAAACTCCCCCTCAAAATTTGCATCCTTGAGAGAATTCGTGCATTTTACATTGTCTAGCACCAGGAGGAGAAAAATAAAACTCCCCCTCAAAAGTTGCAAGTAGTGGTTTTTGTTACCAGGGGAGTAAAGTATAAAACTCTCCCTTGGAATGTGCTTTCTTCGTTTTTTGGCTCCAGGAGGAGTGAAAAAGAAACACTCCCCCTCAGAATAAGCACTTGGCGTTTGTTGGTGTTGAGGTGTGCATTTGTTGATTTTCAGCTTAGTAGAGAGTATTCACACCAGTACTCTCCTTGATAATGTGCACGAGTTGATTGCTCGCAGCTCGTCTTCATACCCGCCATGTGTGTGGAGCAATCGGGTCAGTTACCACACATGAGGGACCATCAACACATATTAAGTATGTGTCGGTACCCACCTCCAGATGGGTCCTTCCTTGTCACCACTGAAAAACTGTTTCAGTTTCTGTTTGATTTGTGATCCTAGGCTAGCTGATTGAGAAGAGTCTAACATTCTTAATTTCTCAGCTTCAGCCTTAGGAACCAATTGTAATTTGATCTTTGGAGCAGGAGAGGTTTCACTAGTAGTGAGTGAATGTTCAGACATATAGTCTTTTAAGATTGTTTCTTTAGAGAGTCTTCTCAAATGTCTGAGTGAGTAAACTTTGAGGGGATACTTTAAACATGGTAATTGATACTCCCCCTCAACATTTACTTTAGCAGAAGCTGATTTCTTCGAACATTTCTGAACATTCCTCTTCTTATCTTGGTTGGAGGAGATATCAGATTCAGAGCAACAAGTTTTTACTTGCTTCACACAGTTCAGAGTAGAAGAGCTTGAGCAGTTATTCTTAAGAAATGTCTTCTTTTTGGCATAGAAGAGAGCACTTGAACACCAGTTCCTATTCCTTAGGCGATATTCTTCTTCCTTCTTTCTTCTTCTTAACTTGTCCTCTATCAATTCTCCTCTCCTTTCCACTCTCCTCTTCACAGGGGCCCTTGTCGGTGAAGGTGACTCAGAGTGAGAAATGGAAGTTTCAGGTTTTGTAGATTTTTCAGAATAGTTCTCAGAAGACGGAGGAGAAGGATAAGCACAGTTTTCAGATGATGGAGGAGAAGGAGATTGTGAGCCTGTGCTTGATTGAGAGAATGTTTGGAGCAAAGACATTTCATTCAAGAGTTGTTCTCTTTCCAGTTCAAAAGCTTGTTTTTCTTTATCAAAAGCTTCTTTCCATTCAGCAAACTTTCTCACAAGGGGTGGAATGTATGCTGGTTTGGCTACAGACTCTGAAGTTGAAGGTTCCTCTTGAACTTGCACAGTCTCTTTTGTAGGGTAAAAGGTTGGAATCTCTTCAGGAGGAGTCAATGGGGGTTCTTTTGTTTCATAGCTCTCGTTCAAGGCAGCATAATCAAAAGAAATTTCTGTTCCGAGATTAGCTCTCTTGGCATCTTCTTCATCATTCGTTTCTTTCACACGGAGGAAAGACATCAACTTAGTCAGTCCACGACCCATATAATTGATGTCATACAGTTGAGCACAGTTCACCTTCTTCAAATTACATGGGTTAGACAGACCGAGTCCTTCTTTAGAATTATAGAAACGGGTGTCTTTAGGTTGGTTCAAGAAGATTGTTTGTTCAGTCTGCCCCTTCGTAGCAAGTAAGTTTTCAAGATCTTTGATCTTGCGGTAAAGGTCACTTCTTTTATTTTGAAGAAAATCGTTATCAGCTTTTGTTGTGCTTAGCTCTATGTGGGTCTGATTCAACTCCTTTGTTAGATCAGCTATTTTCAGAGTCAGCTTCTCTGTTTCCAAAGTTATTTTATTAACCTCTTCTTTGGAATTGTCCAATTGTATACTCAATAAGGTGGACTTATCTAGCTGCTTCACTAGGACTTTGTGATTATTTGCTAATCTCTCTTCAAATTCCTTGATAATTTTGTCATTATCTTTTGAAGAATGAGTTTGACAAATACATGAACAAGGAGATATAGCGTCCATTGTTGTTGATTGTTGAATGTTGACCGTAGACGTGAGGTTGATTGAAGTTTCTGCAATTTTCTGGACCTTGAAATGTGGTTTGGACCTTGAGAAAAAAATAGTCTTAACTTTGAGATTTTTTTTAATTAACTAATTAATTAATTAATTAATTAATTTTTTTTAATCTCAAGGTTGACTCTTGGAAGCTTTGATTGTAAGGTTGACCTTTGGTGTTGAAGATTTGAGCTCAAAAGTTGAAATGAGCTCAAAAATAGCTCTTGAAGTTGGAGTTTTTAAAAAAATGTACTTATCCAAGTGTGGAGAGAAAAGTAATCTTTTAAGCAATCCCATACCTAAACTCCTTGGGAATTTTTGAGCCTATATATAAAAACCACTCCTTCCTTAGTAGTAAAAGGTGAAGGAGAACGAAAGAGCTCTCACTAGTTCGGCATTGAAAATTCTCCTCCTTCTCTCTAGGAATATTTCGACCGAGATACTCCTGGACAGTTCGAACAACCTAAGCTCATACTTACCACGATTGAAACTTGAATTTTCTTGGATCCTCTTGCTCGGAATTCATCATAGTATCATAATCCATACTTGGTTGTTGATACTTGGTGTTTTTTGAACGATCTGAAGCCAGAAAACCAAGTTTGAGTTTACAGAATTATTGTTCACGAAGTTCAAAAAACCAGAATTACATTTTGGATCATAACTCAAGAGTTTGTGATTGGATTCGTTAAAGGAGAGTTGCTTGGGGTTCTCCATCACCTGGCGCACCTCCCCACCCTTCTCCGGTCACCTGGGAGCGCCGCCGTACCGGAGAAACGAACTAGCCGTTAGGCGCAGTTACTGTACACCGGCGGGGACTGTTTTACAGTTTCCGGCCGCCTACGACGTCCAATCCAAATTCTGAGCACACCTCGGAGGTCGCCTGGTTGAGGTGGTCATTTTGGCACCGGTTTTGCTACCTATAAAGCTGGAAAATTTTTGAAGCTACTGTACATGGCATTGTTCATCTGCGCAGGTATGTACTAGTTAACAATTTTTTCTTCAGTTTTTGTAGGTACCAGGTGCAAACGAAATACATAGCGATGATCTCCATCTTGAGGAGATCAACATATTGTATGTTGGGATTTTTCTGAGCACTTTGGTTCGTGGATGGTACTGTTCATCATCTTCTTCGTTGAGCTCCGGCCATGACCAAGAAGACTAAGCAGCACCGGACCCCACCGATCAAAGATAAGCAATTTGATGACAAGGTGAGAGACCTTTTGGCCAAGAAAGCAGCAATGGAAGCGGGGAAACTGAAAAATAATTCCACTATGAAGGAGGGTATCCCTTCTTCGGACCCAATCTTTTCAAACTCCTCAGGAGCTTTTGCCGCGGCACGAAAGTCAACAGCTTCCACTCCGGCCACGGCTTCCACTCCTGCCGCGGCATCCGAGGCTACAGGGGGACATCAACACATTACCGCGGCATCAACCAAGGGCACGACATCGCTGGGGTCATTTGCGGAAAAACTGCTGGGGCTGGATTCCAAGTCCTCTAATGCCGCGGCATCCAATGAACTGTCCCTTGTGATCAAACCCAATGTCAACATGGATGCTCCCATCATTGAGACATCTGATGAGAATAGTCCTCATGCATGTGAGGAACCTGAGGGGTCTATCTCCCTTGGGTCCCAAGACACTGAATCAGTTGAAGAAGGAGAGGATTTTGAAAGAGAGCCTTTGACTTATGCTTCTTTATTTCGGGACAACCGAGCACCTTCAAACGGCCTAAAGCTTGAGTACTTTCCTCCTTCGGGGGAAAAGCTGGATTTTTCTCATCTCGAGGTGCCTACCCTAATTGAGATTTGGGGTTACTGTTTGGTGGGCCATTTCTCTGGTCGTTTTCCGGGTATGAAGGCTATACTTGACATGATCAAGAAATGGGGTGTGAGAGTGGATGTAAAATCCCATAGCAAAGGATGGGTGGTTTTCAAATTCAAAACTGAAGAGGATCGTCTCAAAGTGCTAACCGAGGGCCCTTACGTCCTATTTGGGAAAACCATGTTCTTGAAAGTACTTTGAGATGATTTTAGCTTCGAGAGTGAGGAATTCTTGAAGGTCCCTACTTGGGTCAAGTTTCTGAATCTACACCTTAGACTTTGGAGAGCTACGGAGATTGGTAAAATAGCATCTCAAGTTGGGGTACCTATCACTACGGATAAGGTAACCCAAGACATGACTTTCACTAAGTATGCTCGGGTCCTTATTGAGGTAGACGCTTCAAAGCCCTCGGTTATGAATTTCCCTATTGTCCCCCCTTCGGGCAAAGAGTATGTTCAAAAGGTTTTGTATGAGACTTATCCGGAATATTGCTACCATTGTAAAAGCTTTGGCCATAACCCGTTTGAATGTTAGGTACTATATCCACATTTGGCAACTATCAAGGTTGCCACGGCTAAAGGCAAAGGGACAGATGCCACGACTAGGGGCAAAGGGACACATGCCGCGGCTTTGGTGAATGGCAAGGAGGGTACGGTGCTTGATAAAGGCAAAGGCATAGCGGTGGATCTAGAACCACCCTTTAAGGAGGTGACTCGAAAGAAGGGCAAGGCTAAGGGGAAACCACAACTTGTACAAGACATTGCTTCATCGTCCAATGGCAACCAACTAATGCTTACGGTGTCCAACCATGGAGTTAGTATTGCGAAAGAGCTACTTGGTCCTTCCTTGACTATTAAGCCGAGACCTAGTGTGAAATTTTCCAAGGAAGACCACAAGTTGATGGTAATTACCAAAGACAAGGAGGGAAAGGAAATCTTGAAGGATATGCCGCGGGGTTATGTGATTAGGAGCATGTACGAGATGGATCCCAAGGACATAGTAACCGGTGTTTTCATGGATGACAAGGGAAGGCCTCTCGCTACTACTATTGACCTTGATGAGCTTCCGGATGGAGAGACTTTGATCAAAGTAGGGGCTGATCTCAAACCGGTGACTAATGAAGATGCCCTGGGCGTGTACTTCACGCACACTGGTATTTTGAAGATGCCGGGGGTTAAGCGCAATGGCACTTGGTATGATTTCGATCCTAAAATCTTTATTGCTAACGTTTTATCTTTCTTTGATCCTTGTAGTAGGAATAATGTGAGCTACTACAAAGAACTCCTAAGGAGAGAGCGTAGAAGTGCAAGGAAGGCGGCTGCCGTGGGTGGAGGATCTACCACGGATCTCTATCTTTCTTAATGACGAAGTTTTTGGTATGGAATGTTAGAGGCCTAAACAAGGTCTCTAAACATAATCTAATTAGCTCTTATATTAAATTGAATAATGTTTGCTTGGTTTGTTTTTTGGAAACTAAAATGACGTTGGCCGCGTTTAATAATTATATTTTAAACAAATGGCCGGATTGGACTTTTGAGAATAATTTTGATCTAATTGGTGGGGGACGCATGGCAATCATGTGGAACCCAAATCTAATAAATTGTGTATTTTTGGATAAAGATAAGCAATTTATGCATGCTAGATGTACTTGTTGTATCACGCAAACATCTTTTTTGACTACTTTTGTATATCCTTTGTATACGGTCCTTGAAAGAAAGACCTTGTGGGATCATTTAACCTTGGTTGGAGACCTTTTGGTTGAACCTTGGATTATTTGTGGTGATTTTAATTGCATTGCCGCGCCTAATGAAACGGTGGGTCCTACCCCCCCTACGGCGTATGTTATGCAACACCTTTTTGACTTTAAAGTCTCGGCTAGCCTACAAGATGCACCCTCCACAGGAGAGTTCTTTACATGGAACAAAGGTGCACTTTGGGCTAATCTAGACCGTGTATTGATCAATGATGTTTGGGAAATCAATAACATAAGGTGTACGGCCCATTTCCACGAAATGGAGGTTGAGTTTGACCATACGGCCTCCGTTGTGTCAATACTCCTTAATTCCTCTCCAAGGCCTAAACCTTTTAAAAATTTTAATATGTGGATTACGCATCATGACTTTGCTAATTTAGTAGCGCAGCATTGGAATCAAGAGATTGAAGGTACGACACAATTTTCCATGGTGAGGAAACTAAAGTTGCTAAAAAGGCCACTTAAGAACCTTAACGCCAAGGATTTTGGCCATATCCCCAATAAAGCTAAAGTGGCAAAGGAGGAATTTAAAAGAATTCACAAGCTTTTCCTCCAAAATCCCTTGGATGAGGGTCTCCAAAGCCAATTAGAGGAAGCTACCAAGAGGGCTAGGTTCCTTAGTGAGGCCAAATGCAGTTTTTTCCAACAAAAGGCAAAGGCGACTCACATCCTAGAAGCGGATAAGGGGACAAGGTATTTTCATGCAATTGTGAAGCGGAAGACCACAAAGAATACTATAGCGGCTAGTACTCTTGAGGATGGGAGCCGCACCACTTCTTTGGAGCAAGTCGGTAATGAATTCGTTAATTTTTTTGTAGATTTATTTGGCTCCGTTGGGGAAACCCAACCTATAGACCCAATGATTTTGAATTCTGGCCCAAAAATTGAACCTAGTGTTCATGAAAGCCTCATTGCCCCTGTTGAGACAAAAGATATCAAATATGCGCTATTTGATATAGGGGATGATAAGGCGTCGGGGCCGGATGGATATTCCTCCGCTTTTTTTAAAGCAAATTGGAATATTGTGGGTGATGATTTAGTACGGGCTACTGAGGATTTTTTTCGTTCGGGAAAGTTATTAAAGCAAATTAACCATACGGTTATTGCACTTATCCCCAAGACGACTCACTCTCCTAAGGTCTCGGATTTTAGACCGATTTCGTGCACTAATGTGTTGTATAAAGTCATTACGAAGATTCTTGCCGCTAGACTCATACCATGCCTACCGGGTTTGATTGACCTAGCCCAAGGAGCTTTTGTTGACGGCCGCCTCATGTTTGATAACATATTCCTTGCCCAGGAACTTGTTAGAGGATACATGAGGAAGCGAATCTCACCTCGATGTATGATCAAGGTGGATTTGCGTAAGGCCTATGACACTATCTCATGGGATTTTCTTCAGAATGTTTTGCAGGGTTTGAGCTTCCCGGAAAAATTTATTGCTTGGATTATGGAATGTGTAACAACTGCATCCTTTTCGGTATCCTTAAACGGGTTGTTATATGGTTTTTTCAAAGGAAAAAGAGGAATTAGACAAGGAGACCCGATGTCCCCTTTGCTATTTGTTATGTGCTTGGAATATTTTTCTAGCATGATTAATTTGAAAACCAAAGGGCCCAATTTTAATTTCCATCCCCAATGTGCTTCACTTGGTATTTCCCATCTAGCCTATGCAGATGATCTTATTCTTTTCTCTAGGGGCGACATTTTTTCAATTGAAATCTTAGTCAATGCTCTTAAAGAATTCAGGGATGCATCTGGCTTAATGGTGAATAAGGACAAATCGAATATTTTCGTGGGGGGAATTAAAGATAACGATCTAAGGGAGATCATGGCCCTTGTGGATTTTGGGCGTGGCCAATTCCCGGTGAAATACCTTGGAATCCCACTTGCCCCACTTAATATTTCGGTTGCACAATATGCACCTTTAATCGATTCCATCTCTGATTGTCTTATTGTGTGGAACACTAAGACCCTTTCCTATGGCGGAAAATTAGAGCTGATAAGATCGGTTATCCAAGGGGTACAATCTTTTTTGCTCCAAGTTTTCCCGGTCCCCCAAACCATCCTTGATAGGATTGTTTCTATTTGTCGTATCTTTTTATGGGGTGGGAAATATTCTAAAGTGGCTTGGGGTGACATTTGCCTTCCAAGAGAGGAGGGGGGCCTTGGCATTCATAATGCCAAGATTTGGAACCATGCCCTCCTTGCTCGCACACTTTGGGATGTCCATAGAAAGAAGGACACCTTATGGGTTAGGTGGGTCAATGGGATCTACCTCAAAGGTAGGAGTGTGTGGGATTTTATCCCACACAATCGTGACTCAATGTTCATGAAGAAGTTGAGCCACATCCGAGACCGAATTGTGGGATGCTTTAATAATTTAAATGATACTATCTTGGGACTTAATGCAAGATCTTTTAATGGGAAGCTTATCTCCGGAAAAAATTATGATCTTCTAAGAATTAAAGGGGAACCTAGGACTTGGATGAGTTTCATTTGGAAATCATATATCCCTCCCAAGTTCTCCTTTAATGTTTGGCTTGCTTTCCGGAATAGGTTACCGACTCAGGATAATCTTGAATATTTGCATATTGTTAATAGATGTGACCCGTGCAAGGGTGGATTGGAAACAATACCACACCTATTCTTTATTTGCCCTTTTTCTTGTAGGATTTGGGAACAAGTGAAGAACTGGCTAGGAATGACGCATCAAATGACTACAGTTTGGAGCTCGGTCAAATGGATCCTTAAGGAGAACAAGGGATCTAAGTTGAAAGGGAAAGCGGTTCGAATTGCCTTTTGTGCTACTATATACCACATTTGGCAAGCTCGGAACGCTAACCGATTTGATGATGTATGTAAAAGGGAAGATGAAGTCATTGCAAAGATCAAACACGTGGTGTATAAGATAATCTTCAACATATACCCGCGTGAGATGGTCAAATTTTGAGAGATGGACTTCGCCTACAAATTCTGATGCCGCGGCATGATGTCTTTGGAGCCCGAGTTGATGTGTCTTGCATCACATTTGTAACTTTGGATGTCTTGGTTTAAGGGAGTGTGTGTATTAACCTCCTTAACCATAGCGTAATTTTTGGTCTTGATGTGATCTGTGTGCGTGCTTCATGCAACACCGATTTATTTTTTCTTTTTGGGGCATTTAGTATCTATACTTAGGCCCCTTTTTGATTTTGATTTTGGAATAGATCGAATAAAAACCTCTCCTTACCCCTACTTTTTGTAGGGGTGGGAGGGGGGGTTAGGAGATCTAGAACCCATGATGTATAGTTTCTTTTGGGTGTTAATATAAATTTACATTTCATCCAAAAAAAAGTAAAAGGTGAAGGAGAAGAGGGGAGCTCTCGCGCACATGGGATTTCGGGCTTTCAGTTCAAAATCGAAAAATCGCACCCCCCCTACGCGGGCGACCTGCGGACACGAATGCTGCAGAATTCAGCAGGTCTCAAAGAACATTCTGAATGCGCGGGCTTTCAGAATTCCCTGTCCTTCGAGAACTCAACTCGCACCTGTCCTTCGAGAACTCAAAACTCGCACCTTGACCTCGAGATTACACAAACTCGCACCTGGACCTCGAGTTTACACAAACTCGCACCTCGACCTCGAGATTTCACAAACTCGCACCTGGACCTCGAGTTTTCACAAACTCACACCTGGACCTTTTATCTCCTTCGTACAACCTGCGAAATATCTCAAAATTCCAAAAATGCAATTTCAATCTTCTTTAACTCAAAACTTCATACAAAACATCCACCAAACGTAGATTAACGTCCAAACCAGCTCGATCAAACCACAAAATACCTGAAAATCAAAATTTCCAGAAATACTTCTTCACCGTCAATGGCAGAAAAAAACGCAGAACTTCTTCAATCGATTTCACGCTAGGCTCTGATACCAAATGTTAGTCCCTGTTTTCTATAACAGCAATATAATATGATCTATCAAAGAGTAAAACAACAGAAAGATGAACACGATGAAATCCCTCTTCGATATACCGTATAAGCTCTCAGAAAGATATGAGCGTTAATGTGCGTGAGGCTTGTGTGACTTAGGGTTTGCTTAAGTTAGCATCCTTTTATACATAAGGATGTCTAACTTAAGGCTTACAAGTGGGCTAATGGGCTGAAATACATTTGTGGCCCATATTACACATTTAATTAATAACTACACAAATATAAAGATATTTAATTAGATTGGACACCATAAAATATTCCCAGCATATGGTATATAAGTATGGACAAGGAGGAGTCCTATACACTCATAGGCATATCGGTGGGTTGGGGTTTTTAGTCAATAATATTGACTATTAATATTTTCCCAAATAAAACGGTGATCTACGGATCGGGTATTTTCCAAGTGTATATGTACTATTAAGTACTCCGTATTTGTTAACTTGGGCCTTGGGGGAAAAGACTATTTATATAAGTATCACCCTATGTTTGGGTCTTATACTTGAAACGCTAGTTATTCTATATTTAGCCTGCTACTCGCTCGATACTTGTACTGACCCCTTCGAGGGCCCCCACCATTTTCAGGTTGAAGCTAGGGCTTGTTATCTGCACCTTTCTATGGGTGACATCAAATCAAGGAAGACGTGGTTCGTGCTTCCTCGTTTCCTTTCAAATTACCAAACATTGCTCATGGATACTTTTATTTATTATAAACTACTTTTGAGCTTGCATGCTCATGTTATTGGCCGAATGTGGCCTATGAATTACCGTTGAATATTTCTGTTGTTCAATGGTTTAATTGTGATGTTTGTTATATATGTTTACTACTGAGTATGGATGGATTGTTTTGTCAAACGCCTTGTATGATTAAGTGAGGTTGACCTGCGGGTGACGTCACTTGATTATACGGACACGCGCTTAGATTGCGGTCTGGGGCGTGACAAAAATAGGCTCACCAACAAGCTCTTAATGGACTGAGTGGACAAGTTCATAGTTTTATATTTAATTCATTAAACTTTGAAATAAAAAATTATTTAGTTAAATTTATTATTTTAATACGGAGCACCTTAACTAATCTCGAATTAAACATACTGCAGGATGGAAGATTTACCTTAATACGATTAAAACTCATCAATTTTTCAAAAATAGGACAAAATAGTTTAAACATCCTTAATTGTGGTTTTCTATTCGTGATTGATCAAAAATATCCTTATAGGGTTGGAGTTGTTGTCCAGGTCGTCGATCACCGTCGGTAGGAAAATGTTTTGCCGATCAAACATGGACGATTATAAAATACATACCAGATCAAACATGGACGATTATAAAATACATATGGACCAGACATGTACCATACCATGTCTGTTCAGACCAGTCCAAATTTAAATAGATTAAAGGGAGAACTAACAAATAAGCCCTCGAACTTACATAAAAAATGCAAATCAGCTCTTTTATAGGAGGCTCTGTCCGGTCGTCGCCATTTGGGGCGGTTTCCGATGAAATGTTTTGATGAAATTTTTTGAGCATCTTCTTCGTTAAGTCTAGTTTACCCATACCAAATTTCAGCTAAAAATATATTCAACCGAGAAGGCAGTCAAATGATTTTCTGAAATATACTGCGCTCTCTAACTGCACAGTTATCTTCAAAAATTCATTTGACTGCCTTCCCGATTGCATTTTTATCTGAAATTTTGTATGAGTAAACTAGACTTAATGAATAAGATGATCAAAATATTTCATCAAAAAATTCCACCGGGAACCTCTCCAAATGATGATGGCCGGACTTAGAGGCGTCTTCAACATTTCGGAGGCCTTAGACAGAAAAAGCTTACGTCGCAAATTAGAAAAACATATTGAAAAGATATAAATTGAATAAAAAAATAGCATATAGAAAAACCGTATTCAAAGTGTACTATATAATATTTTTAATATTCAAAAGGATAAGTTTTAAAGGTAATAGTACAAACATTTGCAAAATAAATCACAAACTTGTACAAACATTTGCAAAAAACTTGTACAAACATAGAGCCGACAAACGATTGTATAACCAAATCTTTCCGCAACTTATTCTTTCTTTTTGTAGACCCCGAGTCAAATTTCTGCTTTCCCGTCATAGATAATACAAAGTAACAAAAATCGCAAATTAATAAAAAAAAAACCTAAAACTTCTATTCTTCTAAATACAATGACAAATTAAACAAAATAACTACTTTACTACTACTATTATCATGAAATTAATTATTTCATGTATAATGTATTTATCAAATATCATCTTATTCATCTAAATACCTAATACACTAATATACCATAGGGCAAATCGGCAATACATATAATTGAAATCAAAAGTAGCTAAAAAGTTTTTCAATCGATAATATACAACTATCTTTATTCAATTATTTAAAACTAGTGTCGTATGTATATATATTGATTGATATTGATTCAATTAATCTTAGCCACAGAACCAAAGTAGCAGTTAACCATTACTCCTTTACGAATTTAGCCCTTTACAACCGTACAAGCTTTTTACTTTACTCAATTTATCAATTTCTCATTTAGAGTGAAATTAGAGTCCATAGATTAAGAGAAATCGCAAATTCAGACAGAAAGATTCACACAAGTCGGAGGTCGGAGTCAGTCGGCATACGAGTATAGGACGGCCACCAGTTGGGCACTCAATGGCGGACCATTGAGTTCAACATCATGCAGGGTCCGCAGATTTTCAACATCACGCAGGGTTCTTAGTATTATTAGTATTTTAAATTACTATTTTACTTAATATACTAATACTAATAACTTATATTTTGGGGCCCCTTGGCATGTGAGGCCCAAGGCCAACTCCCCGTATATATAGCCGCTACTACCCGGACTGCGTCTCCTATGAAAGGGGTGATTCGAACTTTTTATGTAAGTTTGAGGGTTTATTTGGACTGCGTCTCCTATGATTAAATTAGATTAGACTAAATAAAAAAATTACAATCCAATTTAAACATTCATAATCACGTGTTAAGACGTGACCGAGATGTATGCCTTGACCACCTATTATCTGAATGATCAATTATATTAAGGAGTATTATATAGCATGTGACACCAAGTATTCTTGGTTAAACGATGACTCATATCACATTAAATTAAACTAATCATTCTTACTATAATTACACAAAAAACAACGACATTAACCCAAAATTGGATAAACTAACAGTGAACTCCATGTGTCTTGAATCTTGAATGACATTTAATTTTACCAAACAAAAATGGATAGGTATATCTAAAAAAGCTAGTTTTGGTTGCCTATCGCTAGCTGTATGTTGAATTCGTTTTCCATTTTGAAATTATTATCAAGCATAGGTATGCGTTGAGATTAATTCAATTAATTCAATGCAAAATTTGTTGTACGAGACTTATAAGCACATTTGCTCAAGAATAATTAGAAACTGGACATTTGATTTTTACATGAAAATCCGTGTGTAAAAATCTATGAGACCTTTCAACTACTATAAACCAAACCATTCGTGTAAGTTGTGTAGCTATGATCACGTTATTTTCACGAATGGCTTGGTTTATAATCATATTTTTTTCAGAATAACAACACATTATTTTTTTAATTAATCAGGATCGGATTTCTCGAGTTTTGTATTTCTAAATTTATTTATTTATTTATTTGTGTTAGGATCGTATTTCGTCTCCGGTTCAGGTCTATTCCACTATACCCACATACACCACTTCAGGGGAGGCTATAGCACACCTATTCTCTTTACTCTCTTCTTCTAACCACATAGGAACTCTCAAGCAAGGATGAAGAAGGAAGACTGCTCTCAAATGTTTTGCAGGCTTAACTCAAAGGAAGAAGAACGAGAACTACATGTGATAGGCTGCCAGCCTATTGAAGAGTCACGGGTGAGGCTAACAACAGATATATTATACACCAATATATAATAGATCAGATAATATACCTAGGTAAAAGGTACCAAAGTGGGAGTAAAACATAGGGTGCAAGCCTCGGCAAATAAAGTGGAAGGGAGGCCTTGGTAGGACCAATACCTCCAACAATTTGTATTTGTGAATTTTAAAATGAAAAATATGAAGTTTGATTTTTTTAATATCAAAATATTGGTTACTTTATTTTATTTATTAATCTATCCGTATTGTGAATTAATTAAATTCATAAAATGAAATAAAAATTTGATTTTGTTTAAAATGTAATTTTTGTAATTTCAATGAAAGTGAACAAAACAAATGTAGTTTTTAATGTAATTTATTAATAAATTGATGGAGTATATGGCATAGGGACCCCCCGGCCCACATACTTCCACTATTACATTCAGTCCCAACAGGCCCAAAACGGGCCAAGCCCAGCAGAATGAAGCTCTAAGCAGCCCACAATGCATGAAGGGGTGCCTTCGGCCCCATGGCCGAATGCTATCAGTGACAGAATTGGTTTCAGCAACATCACGGGAAAAGAAGGCTTGGAAACCAAGCCCTCGACAATTGGAGCCCTCGGCACTATGAGGCCCCCGGTACGCAGAGCCTTCGCATTATCATCTACAGCCGAAGGCATCCTCCTCGACAAGATCTCCCATCCACATGCGCTGGATCACCGTACCAAGTACAAACGTCGCATCCAACCACCGCATTTAATGCGGCCACATGCGAGTGCCAGCGCCACCCCAGTTAAGGTGACCCCTCGACCACCAGAATGCTGACACGTGTCCCTATCTAGCATTTATTGCTACTATAAATAGCAACCCCTTTCCCCATTGTAAACCACGCCTTAAATGCATCTCATATATTCGAATTCACTCTCTCTTACTTATTTGCTCTGACTACTCTCTAAGTTACTCCCCGCAGTAACCCCTCAGATAAGCTACCGCCCGGGTACACTATCCATCATTTGGTGCTCTCGTTGAGAGCTCGAACAATCAAGTAAGAAACCCTCCCCTTCAGCTCTAAAACACCTACCAAAATGGGAAGAACCACTCATGCTCAGTCCAAGAACCTTGAGGACAACAACCTGGCCCTCGGTGAAGTCAACGCCCCCGGAGCCTCCAACAAGGCCCCCGAGGGCGGGGTCATCACTGAGTTAAAATAGGCTGCTGTCGACCTACGCCTTCAGCTTCAGCCGAACGCTCCCGATGCCCGTCTTGGCATCGAAACCCGAAGGAGGGACCAGAGCGAGAACCAAGTGAGTCCTCCGGTTCTCACCATTGACGTACATTCGACATTCTCCACCTTCATCCAAATGCTCACCCAAAACCCAGGTGCCTTCGGCACTCTGGTTCCCCTTCAACCACAAATCGGGGAGAACGATATGCCTCTCCCACGTCCACCCCCCTTCGTGAACCCTACCCCTCGGGTTGGGAATGACGAAGGGGTCGTGGCTCAAGACACCGCCTCCCAGGATGTCCAATCTCGGGACCAACGCAGTGAGAACAAAGAAAGGCCTCGGACCACCGCCCTCGAAAGGCTCGGAGGAGCGCAAGACCGCCTCGGTGGAAAGGCGTCCCAAAGACCCCAAGAGAGCGGGGGATCCGTCTCAAGGGCAGATGAGAGGTGTCCCCCTCAAGATAAAGGCAAGGCACCACTCCATGCCAATAACGCAAGGCATCAAATCAACCAGGCCCACTCGGCCCGTGTTCGTTCACAGGGGGCGGAGGCCCTCCCGAAGGACCACAGGGACGAAATCATTGAGGCCCTCCAACGCCGCCTTGATGAAATGGAGGCCCGTTAAGCACACACAACAGCTTCCGCCTCCCAGGCGGAATCCAAATACA